GGTGTCAACTTTCAATTTGCTACAGACGACTATGTACAATGTATAAAAAAGAGACCTTCTACTCGCCTTCTCCTTGTTCCCAACGAGGTTAAATGAATACATGTAAATTAAAATGTTTTTCGAAAGATACAATTAATGAACGTTGATTCTCTCAATTACTAAAATCTAAGTATAGAGTTTTTTGTTTTATCCATATTTTTTTTCAAGGTTTTATATGTCCCAAGGTAAAAACTGTTTAAGCACACTCTTAACGCACTTTGAAATATTTTTTTAAAGTGTGTTGTGTCCCAAATTTAATGCACTTTGAATCTTTTTTTTTTCTAAGTGTGTTCATTTTGTCCTATTTTTAACGCACTTTGAAAAAAAATTTCAAAGTGTGTAATTTTTTGGTGGCAACCACAACATTTATAACTTTTTCTTGAAAGTAAAATACATTTACAAAAGATAATTTGTCCTTAATGCTGGGTTTTGGACTTTAGGGTCACTTCTATTACTTTTATATTCTAACCTAATTTTACTTTTGCATATTTACTAAAGAGATTTGTCAATTTGGCAATTAAGAAAGTTAAATGTTAAAATGATTTTAGACTGTGATTTAATTAAAATATTCTATGTTTTGGGGTTTTTTTTTCCTTTACTGCTTTCCAAAATATAGAAAATTTGCATTTGAGTGAATATATACCAATGCATCAGGTGAAAATGACGTTGTAAAAATGGTTTTAAAAGTCGAGTAGATATAAGTAATAAAGACGAATAAAATCTAGTTCACTCAAGATCTCCCATCATTTGAGATTATATTACATGTATTCTGTCTGGCACAAGTACGCAATTTACAAAGATTTCAAGACGAGCTAGGTTAACAATATCAACACGTTCATGTTGGTAAAAAAAAAACATTCTAAACCAATGCCTGACAATATTTACCGATTTCGAACATAGTTTCCTGGTTAGCAAAAAACTAAAAGAAAACTTTCAGGTAAATAGTGACGGAATCAATCAGTAAAAATCTGTATCATGACTACTTTTAAAGGACTTTTACGAGAAGCGCTGACTTTTACAGTTGATGAATTACTCTCACACTAACAAAGTATATGGAAGCTCTTTCAGGATTTAAATATTTAGCTCAACATTTAATTCAACGAAAATAACGGGCTATTCAAAGCTCAGATAAGTTGTCCTTGAAGAAAACGACATCCATCCTACCCTAAAACACAGGCCTTTACATATAAGTGCCCCTAACACAATTTCTATGACCATTAGAAAGGTTTTCTTATCCATTATCAATACTGTACCTCCTTAGATGATACATTTTAAACGTCCAGGTAAAACGTCATCTGTAAAAGTCAGTGCTTCTCGAAAAAGTCCTTTAGTCATAATTATTACAGATTTTTTTGATACATAGAAATTATGTCAGAAAGACACTAGGGATTTCACGTGATGAATTACTGTACACCAACTATTAATCGCGTCATCTTTTATTCGCGATTCTCCAGTTTGAAATCATGACGCGAATATTAATTTTCGCAAACGAGGAAACATTCTCTACAAATACAAAGTAAAATTAACGGTTCACGGTGATTATTATTCGCGACTAAAAAGAAGGTCGCGAAACTCACGAATATTTTTCGCACGCGAATAAAAGTTGATTTACAATATATATTCAAAATGTCACTGCTCTTGGTTGCAACAGAAACATAGCGGATGTTAGAAACACTTTATTGACAGGAGTGCATGTGTGTCCTTGTATCCTTTGACACAGCATTATTTATGTAAATAAACTACAATTGTTAAATGTTAAAGAAAGGTATTGGTGGAAACGTTTATAAACTGTAATATTTACTCTATATGCATTCTTGTAAAAATAACAGCATGATGAGTTAATCATCTAGGGTAAATCGTTGGGTAAATCCTGTAAGACAATTTTATTCCTACATTTATTTATGTACTGATGATTTTTTTTATTAAAGAATATTTATATTATTCGGACACTTCACCAGCATATTTAGATTCAATGCCTGTAAATCACATTTTTCTGCTGATGACGTGGTATTAATTTATGAATCACCATCTGGGCTTCAGCATTGTCTGATGAATATTTTGGGAAAAAAATATTGTACAGATTGACAGTTACAAGTTTATATGGAAAAAAACCAATGCATTGAGTTTCTCTTAAAAATAGCATCAGTGAAGATATGTATGGATTTTATTTTTTATTTTAAGCATATCATTGTATGTCTATAACAGGATCAATATATATATATATATATAGGATTTGTGTTTACATCAAATGAAAAACTGAAGTTTGCTTCTGAACAACTTTCAAAGCGCTAAAAAGGCATCTTATGCACTGAAATCAATCACGTATACCTGTAAATAACACTCTTTTAATTCAGGATTTAATTATTAAACAATACAATTCCATGATTGTTCAAATCATAACATATGGATCTAAAATATGGACCACAGACTTTAAATTAGATATTAAGTCCATTATAATGTTTTCCAATTGACAAAATTCAAAATCATATTCTCAAAGATATTCTAGGTGTACATAAAAAGGCATCAAATTTAGCAGTCAATGCTGAAATAGGATCTTATCCACTTTATATTTACTATTTATGGTTTGAAACCATGTTTAAATATCACGTTAGATTAAGAAATATAAACTCAAATACAAAATATAGAAATGGTATCAGCTTTCAAAGAGGACAAAAGGTTAGCATTGAGAAGAGGTTATATTTCACGGCAAAGTAAGATTTCAATTTTCGACAAAAACTAAACTTGGTCTTTTAAAATATTTTCTAGAAGGATTTGAGGTTCTACTTAGATGAAACTCTTGTTCATATGACCTTTTAACAATTGAGCAGAATCTTATTTTCTAACCCGGGAAAACTTTATTTTTATAGTAAATCTTAAGCTATATTGATAAATTGCAGGATTTCTTAAAGTTTCCTCTAAAAAACATGAAAGATCACAGCTTATAAATTAAGAATCATTGCACATTCACCATTCATTGAAACAGGCAGATATTGTAAACCAATAATCCCTAAGGAAAAATGCTTATAAAATATTGGTTTAAAATGAAAAACATTTTGTACTTAACTGTCCTGTATATGACAATCTTCTATTTCAATATTATGATATTTTTATGATTAATATACTGTGATATTTATCCCATAAAAATGTTAACCCATGTGTTTACAATACAACCAAACGTTTATGCAAATAATGAGATAAATGCTTTATGCAGAGAAAACAAATCCAGGTACTGTAAACAAGTTCAAGAACCGCGTAAAATTTTATTGCTTGCAATTGTAGTGTTTTATTTTTTGAATGTCATCTTATTCTTATTTTGATTGTATATCAACATGATGTCAATATATAAATGAAAAAAAAATATTGAAGAACATTAGAAAAACATTCGTCGACTAATAAATAAAGTCAATAAATAGTAGGCACAAAAATTCGAGGAATTGTGTCGACTCCCATCTTTGAAAAAATCTTCGTTCTTCCTAAAATTATATTTTTATTTCATTTAATTGCGTAAAGATGTCGATAAAATGTTGACCATTCCTGCAATTTTAAAAAGAAATGCTTCTTTTGAAAGTTTTATTTTGAAAAGTACAGCCATCCTGTACTGTTTTCAATTATTAATATGCTTTGCAATAAATTAACTGGTTTTAGATATTTGATGCAAACAACAGAACTCTGATGGTATCAACCCTTGGGGATAATATAAGGACCGTGATCAAAAACAGTGTCACAGTATATTTAATATGTTCATATATATAATCCTTTTCTTTTGGAGTACTGCACAATAGAATATTTGAGAAGTGGTGATATTTATTATGTTCATATAGAGAATTTTTTACTTCTGAGAAGTGGTGTATTTTAAACTCCAAATAACTATTTTTTTTTTTAAACACATTAATTTTACCAAATTCAAGAATTTTGACAATTATGTTAACATTTTTCATATTCTACGGTCGAATTAATGACCTTGTTTGCAATTACAATCCGTAGTTATAACCAGATGATACAAACAAAAAAATGGATGTCTGGATTGGTATATGTGTTTGGGTCTATTTCTGTTGTATTTGACGAAAATAATAAATTTCTAAAATATAAACCTTCTATTATGTTCGAAATTGTATCTTTCACTACCGATCCTTCATAACATAAATGTTTGTCAATTAAAATCTCATTTTTGTGAGACTTTGAATAAAAGAAATTAAAAGTATACGGTTGAAACTTGTTTGATTTACTTACATAAACATGATTCAAGTTTTTATCTGCAATATTTAATCAAAAGTTTGTAACATCTGACCTTATGCTCTCTAAAGTTTTAACACAAATTGTTAATGAATTTTTTCACACATTGACAAAATTGTAATTTGTTCTTTGTCCAATTTCAATCAATCTTAATGTAGGATGTTGAAGTACCTCAAACGTTTGGAAACAATATTTGGCTTCTCATTTGTATACCTGTGTTTATTTGCTCACAAAAAATATGTAACTTTCTTTTTTGCCACATTTTGTCCTTGATTCTGTCTGTTAATACAAGGTAGATGCTCTTTCCCTCACATCCTTGTCCTGGGATTTGGTACAGGGATTCCAAGAACCTATATAAAATTAGCAAAATTTAATAAAATATATATTATATATATATTATCATTCGTTCATGATTTCTGATAAAACCTTAATGTCTCAGATGCGTTGAACAATTTGAAATTTCCCAAAATTTTATCAACAAGTTTAGTATCGGGCAACACTATAAAAGTCGGTTGTCAATAGTTTTCTTGGGGTGTCAATTTCAATCATAACTCCACACAAACTCCAAAGCCTTGACATTGTGAGGATGCTTCAGAAGAGACACATTTATCATCATATTGAATGTCTCATGCTTTTGGATGTCATCTAACAAAAAATCGTAGCAAGTCTTACAGTTTCGAAAGCATAGAAACTCCTCGCTTCTGTTTTTTCTGAATAAGAAAGCATCGAAAAAGATTAACTGACCTTTTTATTATTTGTTTGATTCTTGGAGAGTTCTTTATCAACGAAAATTTCTTCATATAGATCTGAGCTCTCATACATTTTTTGTCTGATTTTTGTTTTCGACCAAGCTACATCGAACACAAGGATTCATTCACACCAAGTCTGCTTAACTCCTTTCAAATCCACAACTCGCATTTTGAGTATTCTTCAGCGAACTGTACGCGCAGAATTTACACGTAGGGGAATTAATCGTCGTTTACCACTCGCAAAGTGTGTTGCTTTTGCTGAAGACAACATTACAAATCATTCACCCTATCTAATCAAATATTAGTATTATCAACATGACAGTATTACATGAATCAATCAATTTGTTACGTGTTTGTATTTCTGTGCGTATTGTTCGCTGTAGATTTCTCAAAATATCAGTTGAACTTATGAAAGAAAGCTGAATAAGCTTGACGTAAGTCAAGTCCAGCTTGTATCCGAAATAAAATGTTTAAAAGAAAACCAAAAAATGCTTGTGAGTGCAGTTAACGAAAGGCAAGACCTTCTAGAGTATACAACAAACAAAAACAGGTTATTGAATCTGTTTTTTCGAAGCTTCCTAATAAGAAAAATAGAAGGGTGAATTGAAAGCCATTCAAAATGTACTTTTAACGACAACCTCCAACTTTTTCGTTTACATATTAATGATTCAGTATAACAAAATGTTTTGTGGTTAATATTTTTATACCAGGGAATAATATAAGCATCACCAACATTTAAAGCATAGAAAGACAAAAGCAATTACTTCTACGTCTTTTGACCATATCTTCTTTAGCTCTTCTGTGTTGGATATCCTGAAAGTATTTTGGACAGTTACTTTGTAAAGAAAATATTTCAGCCTTAGTGAATAATAAAAACTAGAAATCAGCCAAAAATAAATCTAATTCAATTGAATCATAAAACATTGGTGTTTTATACCAGTTGACAGGTTCTAATGTTCTCGCAGAAGTGCTTAAAAGCATCTAAAAATTCGTCCGGGTTGAAGTTCTTTTCATTCTCGCAAAAATATTGAGCTAGACGAGTAGATTGTTCATGCATTCTCTCTGTTATGTCATCTGACTCATCCATTTGAGCATCAGCTTTCTATCAATATTGGTGAATGATGTCATTTTCGTTATTTCAATTTATAGATATTACCGGTATTCTTTATAGGAAAGAAAGAGGATACGTACATACAATATTTTCATTTTTATTTTCTTTTTTCAGAATTACAAATATTCAAAATAAATATCTTTAAGTAACTAACAAGTTGAATAAACGAAAAAAAAAATGACCTATTGATTCTAAAATTTTGCTTTTTGATTGTTCTTGTTATTATTAAGCCAAGATCACATGATATTTCTTATTTCCTCCAGTTTATAAACAATTTTAAATATTTTACACTTATAGCTGGTTAGAGACTAGCTTATCCTGATTCTTACCTCCAAGAAATCAGTAAACTGTGTTTTCACTTCATCATCCGTTTGTTCACATTTTTGTTTAAGTCTCTTAACCATTCCCCTGAGCTGATTAAATTCGTCAGTTACACCATTCATCGGAAACCTTTCAAAACATTAATATGCTCTAAAAATGTTATTCTTCAGATATTTCTTATAGTGTCTTGAGGAAACAACTTAAATTATCCACTGCCTGGATTTATAGATTTTTTTTTTTTGCAAATCGATGATACCAAAATATTGGAAAACTAACAAAAATGTCTCGTGGTAGTTATAAGCATATTGAATACCTTGACGCGTTTTCTAAAGGTTCCTGCAAGATTTTTACAAATTCCAAAGCACCCTGGTTCCTTTGTTCCGATGTCTCCACCAAGTAATGGAGGAGAGTCATTTTGGGGATATTTGTACTTGACTTGGTGTTCATAAGGGACTTGAGAGAACTTATCCGAATTCCTCGTGCATTTTCAAATGTACTTCCCTATATTTAGAATCAATCTGCAATCAATTATGTTTTACCACCAATGCTGTTAGTATTTTTCTTTTATACCAGACAATTGTATATATATAATTCTTTTATATTGGGTCATTAAAAAATTCAATGCTTCTCATCGTCATATAATAATTACAAGATTATAGATCAACACATTTTCGTAAAAAAAAATTTTGTCGAAGTGTGAAGTTTCATTCCATTTGAAAATAGAACTCATGTTATTCAAAATTTAAACCAACATGTGTGTAACACGTTAACCAACATTGTAACGTCAAAGACAACGTTCAGAAAGTTTGTCAAAATTATACAATTTTCTTAATTTCAAACACTGTTTTTAGTCTTCTCCATTCAAAAAAACATATCCAAAACACTTAACACCTAGTTTGCGAACAATTGTACAAATATAGCTTTGATAAGAATGTCATTGTTTTCAAATTCTTTAATTTACCATGTAACCTTTAATTCTGCAACAGTGAAGCACACATCACGTTCAATGACGTTCATCTTTCGACAATATTTTTAACTTTAACCTGTTTCTTTGCAGACAACTTTTCAAACGCTACCACTCAAAATTGTTTTTCCATTTAATACAAATGCAAAGAATTTTACTTACAGATCCTGGTTTAAAAATAGAAATAAAGTTTAAAGTACAATTTTATTGCATGTTCAATAGTCTTCCAACGTCATGTTTTTTTGCTTTTTTTAATTAATGTATTTAGAAACTGATATCTTTTAAATGGAGCGAAAAATTCATTTCATTTTAGCAATGTTTATTTAATTAAATTTTATTTCGGCTCTATTTATTACTGTAACTACTATAAAGTAAAAGTTAGTAAATTACAATTTTGCCTCGTCACGTTTTTGCTGTTCTAAATCCTTCTTAATTTTAATAAATATAACTTTTCAATTTTTTTACTCAAATTATTTGAACCTGTTGTTAAAATATTGCAAATTTGATAAATTGACGTTAAATAAAAAAGTTATCTTTTTTGAATGACCCTCGTATTAGTCTTCTTTAAAATCAATTCGTTTTTTTTTCAAAAAGAAAAATACTACTTTGTTCAGAAATTTCCTGTGTGTAAAACGTATCGGAGGTGATACCTATTAGATCACAAGTCTTTAAAAAAAAGTTCAGACTGTGTGCTTATTTTTGTTGGTTAAAATAAATTACTGATAAGTAATACTCTTTATCACAATTCATGGTTGGGAAGTTGTGTCATGTAAAAGAGGAACTTTTCGGCGTCTTCAAGGTTTTCAGCGTTGCCTTTAAAATTCTTGAAAAATTCAATCTGCAAAATAGAAATAAAGTGTTTAGAAATATGTTCAATCTTGAATCTTTTAAATCTTTGTTTTTAATTTTTTAATTTCAAAAAAAAAATTTTGGGGCCTGGATATCGAACTTCTTTCAGTCTTTTTAACTTTTCAACTTCAAACTTTTCGTAGTCTCCATTCTGCAGAAGTTGAATAATATCTCTTATCGGTCTTCCGCAGTTTAACTATAGTTCCTTGCTGGCTCAAAGGTGATTCCTTCAAAGTAAAAGAGAAAGTGAATCCTATTTTTTGGTACAATAAATTACTGATAAGTAATACTCTTAATCACACAAAGGTCCAGTCTTGTATTCCACCATATATATGAAATTAAACAACATAATCTTCCATCGTGTTCATGTTCTTAGTCACCCTTTAACTATAGTCCTGCTGGACAGTTATAACTGGCGATGTAACATTGTATATTATTGTATTACAGTTACACTGTAATAGGTTTTTAAATCACTAACTTGTTTGCATTTAATTAAGTCCTTGCCAAACACAAGAGAGAAGCAGAATTAAAATGTTAATACCCCGGTAAACCTTCCTAGTCGTATCAATTTGAATTTTTTATCAATTTTAGTTGCCATGAAAAAAAATACAATGTCAGTCTTTTTATAGGATAGATTTTGAAAGGAAGGAGTATTATCAGTGAAAACTGATAGCCAAAAAGTAAAAATTGTTGTTCAGTAAAAGTGTTAAAGGGGGTCCCTGCATCCCCTCTTACCACGCTCACCCAAAAATATATGTTCGCTTGTATTTTGGTTCACATGAAAAAAAAGTCAGTTGATTAAATAGCTTTCCAAAACAATTTGCATCAATTTTGAATTTCCCGATCTATTTTTAGATCAATATAGAGGAAATAAATCCTTGTATTCACCTGGAACGTCACGTGCAGATCAATACAAAGTAGTATTTTTCTAACATAGTTGGATCTCAGCCAATCAGAGAGATGGAAATTATTCAATCATATAATAATGTATATTATTGTATTACAGTTAATAGGACCTTAAATCGCTAATTTCAAAAGATCCTACATATCGGGAACCCCGATTTTTAACTGACTTAGGAATTGCAAAATACATTATGGATTCTGTATAAGATTACGCCAGGCGGTGGACCAGATATGAAAAAGATGACTTTGAGTCTTTGTCAGAATGGATTAAATGTATCAGGTCTTTGTTACCATTGCGCATTAGAATATTGAGGGACAATGTGAACACAACATAATCTTCTGTATTCAATAATCCAGAAGTGAAAAAAAAGAATTAGATAGATTACATAATCAGTACGGACTGGTGTCTACTGATAAAGCAGGTAAAACATTGTCTTCTTTTGAAAGGCTCATCGTGTGAATTGTATTTTAGAAAAGCTTGGGATTAATTCTACAAGTGTAAATTCTACTTATACTCATAGTTCCTTTCCAAGGAAGAAATTCTTTGAAATTGTATGTCAATTTTGAATATTTTTAATATTTCAAACAATCAAAATGAATTTGAAATATCATACAAGTATCTTTATTGGATTTTGAAACTTCATAAAATCCTTAAAATCAAAGATTCATAGCGGGTTCCATTAAATATTCAACCAAACCTCTTTCTTAACTTCTCACTAACATATAATCAGTAGTAAAGGAGAAACGTCAAAAGTATGTACTGTGCAACAATTTATTCAGGAAGTGTTGTAAATCAGATGTGGATATTTAAAAATTCCAAGGAACCTTTGGCAAATTTGAAATCAAAAGAATTAAAAAAAAATCAACAGCTTAAAAATTACGACTTTTCAACTTTTTCCACAACCATTACCCCGATAATTCAATGTCCATACCTTTATGACATTGACAGCTGCTTTTTCATTCAAAAATGAAATCTACTTTTTGTCATTGGTCATTTCAAAATTAGTTTGTTAAAACATTATGATTGTAGCACAATTTCTCTGAAGTTAACATCAAAAAGAGATCCTGGTTGACAATATCTATGTGGTTTTTTGGAGATAATATCGATTGGAGTTTCAATGGGTATTAATTGCGCCACGTTATTAGCAGGTTTATTTCTGTTCTCATATGAAGCAAGCAGACTTTGTCCAAAATCTTATGCGTGAAAAAAAAAATACTTCCTGTAGCCTTCAACCCGACATTTAGATATATCGACGATGTGTTGTCAATTAACAATGGTTTTTTTTTTCCATTCTGTCATGTGGATACGATTTATCCCGGTGAGATTGAGATAAGAGATACCACAGAGTCTGACAAATTTGTTTCATATTTGGATATTTTACTTGAAAAAGATGTTAACTCCAATCTAACAACCAATCTGTATAATAAACGTGATGTCTTTAACTTCTCATTGGTCAACTTCCCATACTTATGCAGCAATATACCTTCGTCACCTGGATACGGGGTTTATATCTTTCAGATGATTTGATACACAAGAACACGCTCTTTGTACATCTATGTACATCTATGCACAATTTCTAAAAGGAGGTAAATTATTGACGAACAAGTTGATGAAACAAGGATATCAGCAATCTTGTTTAAAATCATCATTTCGTGCGTTCTATGCATATGGTCGATACAATGACCTTGTCAGCAAATCAAATGCTGACTGACGTTTTTCAAACTATTTGTTAGGCCCTTATTTACAAACTGAATTGTCGACGAATTTTACGTTATTTTCCAATTATGACAAGGAGCAAACGGCGGGTGTGACCTTTCAGCAGGGGATGCTTACTCCTCCATGGCACCTGATCCCATCTCTGATATTTTGGAGGTCCGTGTTTGCTCTGAGAAAATACTTACTTTAAGAAGAGAAAATACTTACTTTACTCTTGCAATCTGTCCTGGCAGATGCATTCTCGTTTTCGTTGTTGGCAAAAAAAATTCTCCAAATCAGCATATTCCACTTTAATTTTGTCTGGCATTTCAAGGATATCCCTCCAAATGTTCTTTTCTAAACGATAAGAAAAGACTGAAAAATCAATCGCAAGTCACTAAATTGGTAAAAATGCACTTCATGTAAATTCAAAAATGAGAGCTAGATGTTCGTTTGAAATTTTGTTTTTCTCTTCCTATCCATTATTATCTGACCATTTCCTTTTTCAGGACTGCAACAAACCTCAGCAACATTCTACACTATTAGATCAAGCGAATCATTGTTTTTTTTCTGCCCAA